GGGCCATTTGTATGTCTTCTTTCGGGAAGTGTCTGTCTGCCCATTTCTTGACTGGATTACTTGCGGGGGGGGGGGGGTTGGGTGTTGAGTCTGATAAGTTCTTATGGATCTTGGATACTAGCCCTTTATCTGTGCTGTCATTTGCGAGTATCTTCTTCCATTCCATGGGTTGCCTTTCAGTTTTGTTGACTGTTTCCTTGCTGTGCAAAAGCTTTTTATCTTGATGAAGTCCCAATAGTTCATTTTTGCTTATGTTCCCCTTGCCTTTGGAGCTGTATCTACCAAGAAGTTGCTGCAGCCAAGTAGAAGAGGTTGTTGCCTGTGTTCTCCTCTAGGATTTTGATGTACAATTCACTTTTGACGATTTTCAGGGATACAAAATTCCAAATTGACAGTGTTTTTCTTTCAATACTTGAAATATGTCATTTTTCTCTGTTTTTGCTTCTCTTTGCTCTGGCTGAAGAGGAAAAAAATGTGATTCTAACAGCGGTTTTACCACAGGGCAGTTTTCCCCACCCCCCAACATGCCTTCAAGGTTTTCTTCTTGTCTTAATGTTCTGACACTCATCAGAACAACGGGGTTGACAACTTGATATACATCCTGCTTGGTGTTTTCTGAGATGTTTGGAGCTGAGATTCATGTATGTAGTATTTCAAATATGTCTTCTAATTCTCTGCCTTGTGTTTTCTTCTCTTAGTATTTTCACTGATTTTACACCTTTTGTCATTGTCCTACAGTTCCTGCCTATTCTATTTTCATCAGTATTTTTTCTGTTATCATTTAGTATGAGAAGGTTCTGGTGCTGTGTCTGCAAGCTCACTGAACTTACCTCACACAGGAGCTCAATAAAAGCATTCCCCAATTCTGTTTACAATGATTTTTCTTTCTGCAATTACCTTTTGATCCTTTCCCATGAGTCCTCTGCTTACAGTGCCCATCACATCTTGCATGCTGTTCGCTTTTTCTATTGGAGGCTTTAGCACATTAAGTGTGTTTGTTTAAAATTCCCAGTTTTATATTTCCCCAATCTCAGTCATATCCCAGTCTGGTTCTGCTGTAGGCTCTGTTTCTTTGAACTGTGTTGTTTTTGCCATTTAACATGCTTTGTAATGTTTGATGGAAATCTGGACATGATGCATTGAGCAAAAACTACTGAAGTAAATCTTCCTTTAATGTGAGTTGTGTGTGTTTTTTTAATGTTCTGGCAGTTACTCCAAGCTCAGTGTTTTTGGTGAGCCATAATATTTGAAGCCATAAATTCCTCTGAGGTGCTTTGTATTTTGTAGGAGGTTTTTGTTGCTTGTCTCTATTGTTTGCTTTGGGTTTCCCTGGATACTTTTTCTAGTAAAGTAAAAAATAAATTTTCTAGTAAAATCTGAGAGTTGACCTTCTTTCAGTTGAAATCATGTTTTGATATCAGATCCACATTAATGCAGGGGAAGTGCTGTATAGTTGTATGGTTAGATCTTAGGGTTTTAGTGAAAGTGTGTCCCTGAGACTTGGTCTTTACAAGTGCTTCTTAGACTCTTGTTCCCATTAGCTAAGAGAATAGAGGAAGCTAGAGTTGGGTCCCTTCCTCTGCATAGAAACCTGGAGGGGTCTAGATTTGGGTATTTCCTTTCCCCGGGTCAGGTATGCTCTGGTCAAACCCAAAGTGCTTGCTCTGCTAACATAGTTTCCCTTGAGGGAAGGATCTCTTCAGGAGAACAGAGGGTACTGGGTGTGTTCCAGATGGTTGCTTCTCTAATCTTCCACACAGAAGTTGAATGACTTTTCCTTGACCTTCATCGTGACAATGTGGTGGGGCTACTGAAGGTAAATCATAGATGTGTGGAAACCCCACCAGAATTATCCCTCTCCTGGAGACTTTCACCTTCCAGCCATGCTCATAGAACCTCCAGAGATTTTTCAGTCTTGGTAACATTTGCAGCCCAGATCCTGGCTCCGGCAAACTCTTGTACTTCTGAGGCTGTGAGTGTTCTGTATTCATCGTCTCTCCAGTTTTTGTGGTGGCAGTTTGCCTTGAGATCTAAGTTCTTTGATTGATTTTTGAAGAATTGTTGATTTTCAGCTTGTTCAGCATTTCTCTTATTACAATGACAGGAGTGATGATGTCTAAGCTCTATATATATCAGACCACAAACTGGAAGACTGTTAATCTTTCTAATAACAAGTAACCTTAGCTTGTTCCCTCTGCAAATAGCTCCCTTTCATACCCTATTGTTGGAAAAATGAGGAGATATAATGAGCTACTTCCGCTGATTTTTTAAAATAGGTTGTCAGGAGTTGTTCAGGGATTTGTCACATCATAGAATGAAATCCTGATTTGTTATCAGTAGTTATAAAGCCAGGCCCATGTTCCTTATGTAAGATACATATGTACATGATTTGCTTCACATGATAAAACATAAAGTTAAAACAGAAATAACTATGTTAGACAAGATGAAATGCATGGGGTGCAGTAGGAATGTCCAGCCTGCTCCAGTCAGAAGAGGTATTTGAGCAGCAACAGTTCCAATAGGCACGGATGAATCTTCCTGTGTATACTTGCCCTGGGGACCTCTGTTATCCTGGGCTGTATCCTTAAACCCAAAACACATTGTCATATGCAGTTGTCAGTCCTTCTAGCCATCAAGCTTTGATGCTCTCTCTACCCTGTTAGATGGTCCATAGGAAATATGAAACAGCTCCAGCCCCCTGTCACCCATTATCCAAATCAGTGCTTTTCCACACTTGGTTCACAGAGCATAAGCACATGAGAATTATGCGGGGAACAGGTACAAGTTATTGTGATAAGTTCTAGAGAAGACACATGGGTTCTGGGTAGAAAATAGGGAAAGGGGAGGAGACAAACTTAGTCAGAAGGCATCCTGCCACATCCAAGTCTGGAGGCAAATGGGACATGAGCAATTCCATCAACTGTCCTTTGAGGACTGTGACCACAGGGATTGAACCACAGCCTTAAACCACCCACCTTTGGGGTAAATTGCAGGGCAGGAAATGGGGATGGAATGCTGTTACTGTGGTCACCCAGTTGGCTCCAGGATTACAAAGGTCAGGGCTAGGTCTTCATTTCTTTTTTTTTTTTTTTTTTTTTTTTTTTTTTTTTTTTTTAAAGATTTTTATTTATTTATTTATTTGACAGAGAGAGAGATCACAAGTAGACAGAGAGGCAGGCAGAGAGAGAGAGGGAAGCAGGCTCCCTGCTGAGCAGAGAGCCCGATGCGGGACCCGATCCCAGGACCCTGAGATCATGACCTGAGCCGAAGGCAGCGGCTTAACCCACTGAGCCACCCAGGCGCCCCTAGGTCTTCATTTCTTATCTAAACAAGGCCCACACATGGTCCAGCCTGAGAGGAAGATGGACATTGACTAATTTCAAGGGAGCTATTCCCTGGGGCTGAGCACTTGCCTCTTAGGTCCCAAAGAACCAGATCCAACCATGAAGGAAAATATGGTCAATGGCCCAGATGTTTTTGGTCTAACAAGCCCGGGATAGAGATGAGTGATCGTACTGGTGAGGCTGTTTCTTGTTATGTCCACCACAGCAGTAGGACTGCTAGGAGTAGAGACCCAGGAAAACACCTCCTTAAAGGTAGTCTGGCAGGCCATGGTGCTGGGCCCTCAGCTTAAGACAGTGGACTCTGACATGGCCAGCCCATGGGCATGTGACTTGAGAGGCAGTAGTGTCTCCAAACACAGTGTCATTTATGGAGTTGACCTCAGTGTCAGAGCCTGGCTGGAGAGCCATTATACATGTAACATACAAAAGTATGAATTGACAATGTTATCCATAAGGCTTCTGGCCAACAGACTTAACAATAGTTAAATTTCGAGGGAGTCGAAATGTGGATATGTGTATTTTCCTTTTACTGTCAGGGTCACTGTCCCTAACCTAATAATGCCATTATTCTAGGATCAAATGCATATGCAGAACTGTTATTCATCATGTCCATCATTTCTAAGCTATCCAAGCCACCATCATTTCTCATCTGGAATACTGCAATGACCTCTTAATCTCCCTGCTTCTACTCTCACCCACTTTCAGACTGTTCTCAACAGAGCAGCCAGAGCAAATTTTTAAAATGTTATGTCATCGGTTGAAACATCCGTGTGTGAGAATTGTTTTGTTTTGCTTTTTTTTTGTTTTGTTTTGTTTTGTTTTGTTTTTCTGAATGAGCAGGAACTATGAGCAAGAAATCCACAGAATTTATAGAACAAGTTTCTTGGCTACTTTTGTGTTTAATAGCTAATAAACTTTAGATATGTGTCAAGAAAAGAAAAAAGTAACATCATGTCACTCCTCGGTTCCATAACCCTCCAGTATTATTACTGACACATCCAAAGCCCTTATGGTCTATAAGGTCTGAAATGTGCCCTCCACCTCCCTCCCGATTCAAGGACTTTGCTCCTGATGTTCCCTCTATTAGGAGGAACAGGAACATCTTCCCCCAGATGTATTTATTTATCATTGCAGCCCCTGACCTGAAAGTTCGCCTTAGGAGGCAGCGAGTTCATTTTCTTCACTACCTCATCAGCAGTGTCTAAACCAGCGGCGTACTAGGCACCCCACAGTGCCATTTTATATGCTACCGGTAAACAGGAACTGATTCTGGCTTTGCGGCTGAAAGGCACGGCATATGTGGAAGGAAAGACGACTTTGCTAGAGCAAGGAATGTGATTTAAAGGAGCCTCTCAGATGGAGAAAGGCAGCCTGGCCCCGAAGCTGATTGATTGCTCTTCCCGGCCTAACCAGGTCTCCTCCTCAGACTCCACCCCTTCTAGAGCCCTCTGGAGTCAATTGGCTGAACTCTCTGAGCCCTTTCATCCTCCCAGCCAATGACAGGGCAAAAACTCTTCGGGAGGCGGGGCCAGGGTTCCCGCGATGCTGGGAGACGCCTGAGGGATGGGATGCTCCCACCTCCAGGGCACAGAGATTCCGAAACCTCCAGATGCCTAGACGGGCCCGGGGGGGTCAAGTTGAGAGTTAGTGGAGAGCCAGTGACGCAGTTCCGTCTCCGCTGTGTTCCGAGATGTGAGTCTGGCGCTTTCGACGAGAGGTATGTGGCAGCCTGGCGTCGGGGTTCGGTCCGTGTTCTGGGAGAGGGTGGCTGACACCGGCCGGGACCCAGGCCTCCTTCAGCGCAGCCGCTACGGCAACGGGGAGGAAGTCTCTCTAGGGGTAGTCGAGGGCCTCTCCCTCCCCTCGTTCGGCTCTGTCCCGTTGTCTGGGGTCTCATCTCCCACACCGCGTAGCAGCTCGCTCTGATAGGGCTGACGGTGTTTATACAATTTTGCCGTCCCCGCCCCTAAGCCAGCAGGCCGCCCTGGTAATAGCGGTCTAGAGCCCAGACAGGCTGCACGGACTCCACAACCCCAATTTGAATCGAATACCAGTCTAGTCCCCGTTGTGTTCCCAGTGAGCAACAGAGTTTTGCAGGAGATTACTCATTCATTCATTCAGTACTTACTGAGCACCTACCACTGACTGCTAGGTCCTGGGGGTGACAGTGTGTACAAAGCAAAGGTGTTTTCTGGTAGGCAAGAAATGGAACAAGCTTGAAGGGCTAGAAGCCGAGTCTGGAAATCTGGAGAGGTTGAAAACACAAAACAGATTTTGAGAGCTAGTAATCCTAAGAACTAGGTGATCATTAAAAATAAACAAAGAAACAAGAAAACATTCACTTTTCATCCTCCCTTTAAAGACTTAGTTTTTCCTTTCTAAAGACACTTGACTCAAATTTCCCTTCTCATCTCTCTGCTGCAAACTTTGGCTGGAAAGCAGGATTGCAGGTGGAATGCATTTTGCAGTTAGAGAAAGATATGGAGACTTAGATGTCAAACAGAACAGGTGAGAAGGAGCAGCTGTAGTTTGATGGAATGAGGATTACCTTCAGACGCAGAAGATTGTCTCTTACCAGCCATACTACCTTTGGCATGTCATTCAATCTCTGGGAGCTGCATTTCCCCATCTTCACAATGGGAATGATCATCCTAGCTTTTCATAGTTCTATAAGAAAGGAAGTTACCCAGGGATGGGATACTGCCCTGAGTGTCTGCTTGGAGTTGATCTCAGAGAACGCAATCTTCTCTCTTCTGTTTACAGCGATAGGACACCCTCTTAGGAACTTCCTCACCAAACCCGAGGAAGAGGTCAGGCAAGATTTGTGCTGGGCAGATTCTTCGGAGTAAGGCTGTGCTGGCCAGGTGAGACCTATACTGTGAAATTAGTTATAATTTGACAGGAATCTGCTGACTAGAAGAAGAACCATGGCTGAAAGGGAGCATTTCTGTATGGCTATTTATTGAGGACGAGAGAACCAGAAGAGTGGGAGTGAGCCCTCTGGACCTTGAGGAGTACAGTTTAGGGATGGGAGGAAAGGTAATATAGTTGAACTCAAATCTGGGTGTTAGGAGACTTGAATTTGAGTTGCAGTTTTCTTCTAAGTTTGTTTCCCCATCACTACATTTTGATAGAAGACACTGGGGGATCTGGGTGATTCCTTCCAGCTCCGACATTCTGAGAATCTCTGCATATTTAGACTAAGTCAGCTGAGTATTGGAGCTCCTGGATGGCCCTGTTGAGACAGCATTGCCAAGACTGTATATATACTGTCATGGTGTTCAGATAATACGAAGTACGAAAGGGATGAACAGGTGGAGAAGGGATGGTGATAGTCATGTGTGAAGGGTGCAGTTCTTATCACCCCTACACCCAGATAGAATCAGAATCTTGAACTCGTTTAAGATTTCAAATCACACAACATTTACTGAACCCTCTTTGCGCTAGGTACTTTGTGGAATTCCATCCATGAATACCATGGGCCTTGCTCTCAGGGGCTTAGAGCTTAATGTGTACTTGTGAGGAGAAGTGACAGAGACATACATCCAATTCTAGTATAAGGCAGCCCTAGTTTATATTACAGCTTTGTTACTGTGTTCTTTTTAAGTACAGAAATTTCTCTATGGTCACATGAATTAGAGGTGAAAAAAAAAAGAATGGAAGAAGGGAAATGAGTTGGGAGACAACTTTAGGAATGCAGGATGGGTGACCATTAGAGGGTCTGCCACTCTCTAGGTGTCCAATAAGTGTTTGCTGAATGAATGAACAAATGAATGGGAAATGAATGAACAAATGATAGGAAAGAAAATGATGAAATCCAGGAATTTCCAGGAAAGCATAAACTTGTATTAGAGTGGATACAGAGGGTGACTGAAAGAAAGAAATTCAAGGTTATCAGATCCAGGTCTGAATATCAACAATGGTAATGTCACTAAGAAAGATGAAGATGTAGGAAAACACTTTAGATGAGAAAAGGAAGAATATGTCAGGAATACAAATTTGAGAATAAGACAGAGGGTAAAAAGGAAGTTGTGCAAATACATTAGCTCACTGAGACAGAGATTTTGGTTAGAAGAGCAGGAAGGGAAAAAGAGAAATGCACAAGGATGTGCCATAAAGAAGCCCAAGGTGATTCTGCGGGAACTAAGAGGGAAGCAAGACTTATCAGAAGATGATCTGCTTTTGTTATGATGTCAGGCTTTGTTTTATGTGCCTGAGATCAAGGAGTCCCCTGATAATTTTCTCCCAGTTCTTTTTAAATCTTTTTTTCTCATTTCAGTTTTTATATTTCTTTCATCTGTCTGTGTGGAATTTTTCAGGTATTCCCTCTTATTCGTCACTGTATTGCAGCTAATCAGTAACCAAGGGCCATGTGACTCCTGCTCACAGAAACCCAAACAGGCAGGTGATGCTGGTGAGTTGAAGGAATACAACCTCCCAAGGTTTTCAGACACCTAGAGAGTGGCAGACCCTCTGATGGTCCCCCATCCTGCATTCCTAAAGTTTTCTTCTTAACTCATTTCCCTTCCTCCATTCTTTTTTTTTTTTTAACCTCTAATCTATCTGGGCTAATCTTCCTAAATCATTTTTTTTTTAAAAACAAGTTTAATTGAAGTATAGTCAATATACAATAGTATACCGTAAAGCATTCTTTTCCTAATTCCACTTTTAGGTACGATGATATGAAATCTATTGTCCAGACTGGAATATTTTCATGAGTTAAGGGGACCACTATTAATAATGATGCTGGAATGATACTGGAAACTGTATTCTTGACAAGTGAGAGTGAGAGAGAAGAACAGCAAAGTAGAAAAAAGAATATAGAGTGGGGAAAGAAAATGAGGATGGTTAATACTTGTTACCCATTGACCATCGAATTATACCCATATGTGCCCCATAATTTCAGTGTTCTGGCTCATATTGCTTCATACAACTTAATTCTTCCATCTTTTCATTCAAAAATTTTTCTTTGTTGCCTACTGTGTACTTGGAACTGTGCTAGATGCTGGGAAGACAAAGGTAAACAAAATGGACAAAATTCCCACCATCGTGAAGCTACGTGATAGTGTAATCACCCACTTATTTCTGAGTATGCTGGCCCTGTGCAAGCTTCCTTTTTTTCTTTTTTTCTTTTTTTTTTACCTTCCCCTCCCTCACAAGCTTCTTTTTGAGGAAACCATTCCTTCATGTTCTGGAACTTAGCCAAAGGTTTGCCTTCTTAAAACACCTTTCCCCGAGTATTCTGGGCCCCAGTAATTGCTCCCTTCCCTAGTACCGTTTACCTCTTGATTGGGTACTTTGTAAATCTTAATTTGGTCTCCTCATTTTTCATGATTAACCCCACTGTAAGCTCCTTAAATGTAGGTTTGATACTTCATGCTTGTATTGGTATGCTCAGTCTGCTATAACAAAATCCCACAGACTGGGCAGTGTAAACAACAGAAATTCATTTTCTCACAGTTCTGGAGCCTGTAAGTCCAAGATCAAGGTGACCACCTAATTCAGTTTCTGGTGAGAATGCTCTTCCTGGCTAATAGATGGCCACCTTCTTGTTCTTTACTCATATGACCTTCCTTAGTTTGTTTGGGGGAAAGGAGGCAGGAGTGGAAGCAAAAGTGAGGTCTCTCATGTCTTTTTATAAGGACACACTAATCTTATCAGACCAAGCCCTTATGATCTCATTTAACCTTAATTACATTGTTAAAAGTCACATCTTTAAATATAGTCACATTGGGGGTTAGAGCTTCAATGTGTGTTTTGGTGGGGGAAAGGGGAAACATTCAGTATGTAACCATGCTTTATTTTATTTATTTATTTTTTTACATTCATTAATGGTATTTATTGCTTTGTGACAGAGCCATGTAAATACCTGGCTATTAACAGTTTCCATAGACACCTTTTTCTTGAAAGCCATGAGATGTATCTTTTCTATAGCAGCTTTTAACAACAGAAAAGTTACTATAGTAGTTAGCTGAGAAGATTTAGATCAGTCATGTCTAGAAATGAGACATGCTGGGGCTGGCTTCAAGGCATTGTCTCATTCTGAATCTCTAAAATATTTTGTTCTAGTAATTATGTGGATCCTCTAAAGTCATATCCCAACTTTTTATAAGAAATACCATAAAAATAATTAAAATATAATAAAAGTTAGCAGAAGATAATTTGTTAGCAAAATGAGAGACCTCTATAACAGTAAATATAAACTTACCCACCTGTTCATCCATCTGTTCATTCATACCACAAATATTTTCTACTTTTCTGTAATAATACTTTTTAATATTTTTATTATTTTCCCTGCTAAATCGAAACAAGAAATGTGTACAGAGTAGAATGCTCAATAATTACTGCTTTAAGACATGTATAAAGAAAAGAGTTTCAGAGAAGATTACAAATGGAAAAGAAAGAACCATCAACTGTCTCAGAAAACTCTGGAAATGGCTTAACTTACTGTTCCACTCTGCTCTGCAGGCCCCTGGCTTCTCACTGAGTTTCCACCTCTTTGATTAGGAAAGGTAGCAACAGTTGGTTGTGAGTATACTTCAGGATCTAGCAAGAATCCACCCCTCCCCACTGTTTTCTTTGCCTCCTGTTTATATTTTGAGCACAGATTTGTATATATGTGTCCCTCTATGGCATCAGTGGCACCTATATTCCTGAAATATGAACTCTAACCTCAGTTGGAAGTTCTCTTCCTTTCTTGCTGGTCTTGAGCACTCACCCTTAGATATGCTCCTCCTCCAGAAATTGTGACTCAGCTTATTGAAAAGCTGTGAGACCGTGGAAACTGGTCAGACTTTTTTGAAAAGCAGTAGCCATCACTGCAAAACAATTTCATTCCCTCTGACCCAACAACTCCTTTGTGGAACTTTTATCCTAAGAATATATTTCAGTAGGAAGAAAACTTTGTGGAAAGTGATCATGATAGCATTATTGAAGTGGTTAAACAGCAGGGAGCAACAAAAATTTTGAGTGCTAGCAAAATTGTGGGTAAATTATAACAACTTCAATTGGTAGTGTATTATATAGTCATAAAATGGTCTTATGATTAAATAGCAATGTGGAAAATTACATATAGTAGGATGCAAAATTATATCTATCGTATACTTGCAACCATATATAATCTAAGTATGGACAAGTTTGAAGAGGAATATAGTAAAAGGAACATTAATTATGTGTTAGTATCATGGAATCATTTTTCTGTTTTCTTTTATGGCCCCAATCCCCTCCGGATTTGAGGTATGCTAGAGTTACCTATATATCTCAAAAGTAGAAATAATTATTTGTGGTATGAATGAACAGATGGATGAACAGGTGGGTAAGTTTATTTATTTACTGTTATAGAGTTCTCTCATTTTGCTATTTTTTTATATATATATATATAATATATGTCATATATAGGTGTATAAATATAGATATATATACACCTATATATGACATATATATATTTATATATATGACATATATATGACATTTATATATATGACATAAATATATATTTATATATCTATATATCTATATATATAGGTGTATATATATATATATAGACATATATTATATATATACCTATATTACCTATATATTTTGTGTCAAACTCATTGAGAAGTTCCTGCTTGTTCCTGACATCGGTTTCATGTATTAGCCCCTTTTGGTTGTTCTGTCTACTACTTTCACCCTTTTGCCAAAGTTAGATACTTTGTATCATGCAAAGTCTTATCAAAGCATGACCTTACCCTGCCATGCTTTAGCTAGCCCTGTTCCCCAACTCAGTCTCTCTGGTTTGCACAGTAGATTAGGTGATAGTTCATCAGAGGGATAACTTGGTGAGAAGCAGACAGACTGAATGAGCATATGTAGCTGGATCCAGCTACAGAGTAGTCCCTAGAGAGTAGGTTATGGTGTGATTAGGCTCCAGTAGTCTCTGTTACTTGAAGAACAGTGTTACCCCTTACTAAGACAGGGCTTAAGAACAGAGATGTAGACATGGGCCTCATACCTGGATGTAGAGCAAAAGATGAAATCTTAGTTATACCCTAAGACAATTGCAGTTGCTGGTCTATGAAACAATTCTTGAGCATCTATTTTGTGCCAGCCATTATATCATTGGTATTAGGGGAATAGGTCAGCAAGAACTAAAAGCCAAACTGTTTTGGAGAGCTACTGAGCTAAGGATCTTTCAGTTCATTTTTTCTAGGGACCAGATGAGGAGTTTGATGGCTCTAATCCTGGGAGTAGATGTGAGACAGGAGGAAACAGGGTGGATTTTATATTACTTATTGCTTACCCTGATACTGGACTTTTTGGGTTCCCCTCTTGTCTTTCCATAAGCCTTTATTTACTTAGGCATCTGGGTCTACCCTCATTTTTTTTTCATCTTATTTTTGATCAGTTCTCTCTGTCTTTGAACATTTCCTCTTCCTTGTGAGGCCCTGTGATGTACCACATCTTGTGATCTTTGGATAGAGAATAGGTGACATGTGCAATTTCTGTTTCTTCTGTTAGATGGTGGAACTGAGGAGGTGTTGATTCCAATATCACTCCTAAAACGTGAGAATCTTACACTTTGACGAGAACTCCACAGAGGTGTTCCCAGGGAAGTAAAAATTTAGAAAGCTTTTCTGAAGAGAAAGAGAAGATTCAACAGGCCATTGTGATGCTTCAAGCAAGAGAAAATGAGAAAGACAAGAAGCTTCAGGCATAAGACAGTTAAAGACAATAAAACACTTACAGAAGTGAGTGAGCATGAATATGAAAAAGATGGTAGTGAGTGCTTGGATCCTGCAACAAATATGAGAATTCAGGCTGAAAAGAAACAGTATATATGTACTGAGTGTGGGAAAGCCTTTAGTCAGAGTGCAAATCTTACAGTACATGAGAGAATCCACACAGGAGAGAAACCCTATAAGTGTAAGGAGTGTGGAAAAGCCTTCAGTCATAGCTCCAACCTTGTTGTACATCGGAGAATCCACACTGGACTGAAGCCCTACACATGCAGTGAATGTGGGAAATCTTTCAGTGGTAAGTCTCACCTCATTCGGCACCAGGGAATCCATAGTGGGGAGAAAACTTATGAATGTAAGGAGTGTGGGAAAGCCTTTAGTCGGAGTTCAGGTCTCATTTCACATCATAGAGTTCACACTGGGGAGAAGCCCTACACTTGTATCGAGTGTGGGAAAGCCTTTAGCCGTAGTTCAAACCTTACTCAACATCAAAGAATGCACAAAGGAAAAAAAGTTTACAAATGTAAGGAGTGTGGGAAAACATGTGTTTCTAATACAAAGATTATGGACCATCAGAGAATTCACACAGGGGAGAAGCCTTATGAGTGTGATGAGTGTGGAAAAGCTTTCATTTTAAGGAAGACCCTTAGTGAACATCAGAGACTTCACCGTAGAGAGAAACCTTACAAATGTAATGAATGTGGGAAAGCTTTTACTTCTAATCGAAACCTTGTTGATCATCAGAGAGTTCACACTGGAGAGAAACCTTATAAATGTAACGAATGTGGAAAAACCTTCAGGCAGACTTCTCAAGTTATTCTACATTTGAGAACGCACACTAAGGAAAAGCCCTTTAAATGTAGTGAGTGTGGGAAAGCCTATCGTTACAGCTCACAGCTTCTTCAACACCAGAGAAAACATAATGAGGAGAAAGAAACATCATAAAAAACATATATTGTTGGTAGTAGGCCTAATTGCTACTTTTTGGAAAAACAATTTTTCATTATTCTCAACCTTAATTAAATTCCTATGACTCCATACAGGGAAAGTAACCAGAAGCAGACAAAGATGATCAGAGGGATATTCATGCTGGCATCATACATAACTGAAGGAAGAGAACTAGATTTTCAGTAGCATGGGGTTTAAATGAATGATGGTCTATCTACATGATGGTTTTGTAGCCGTTATAAACATTTTTAAAGAATAATGCCATGAGGAAAATTATTTGTATAAAATGGAAGATAAAGAGAAAACAAATTTGATCCAAATTTTTAAAAAACGTACCTATAGGAGAAAAATATGAATGAAATAATACCAAATCAAAACTTTAACAGTGATTATCGTTGGGTGGTAGGATTATAGGTGATTTCTATTTTCTTTATACTTTTCTATGCTTTTTAGATTTTCTACAAGAATATACTACTTTTATATTCAGGAAAGAAGTATAGTATTTTTTAAATACAGTGAGTACATGTTCATTTTCACTCATCAGTGTTATGAAAGGCATGTGGAACATGGACCCTAAACTCACGGGATTCCACCCTAATGGCACTTGGTAGTAGGGGAAGCATGAGCAAGTCACTTCCTTTAAGAGCCTGTTTCCTGTTTGTTAAATAATAAACATCAGTTTTGGTCTTTTGCAGTTTTAAAATAAGCTGACATTTTTAAACTCTTAGGTTAAAAGAACAACAAAAATTTACCACATTCTCCTCTCCCATGGTTGTAGAAGGATCTGCAGGTAATAGAGACTTCATATTTTCGATATATATCTACAAAACCAGAAAAAATAACCCCTTATGAAATTGAAACAATGGCAGGTACATAACCTGTAAAGATGCACTCAGCATAATCTAAAACGAGGGGAAGACTCTGCCTTCTCATGTATAATTTGGTATCTTAAATTATGGTCTTTGGGATCAGAGGTATGTGTTCTGATCCCAGATCTGCCATGCACTAGCTTGTCAATTATGGACAAGTCACTTAACTGCACTGAGCCTTAGACTTATCTGAAAAAGGGAATAACTACCTACTTCACGGGGTTGTGAGGATTTAATGAGATAATTCATGTATTGTGTGACAAGGCTGGCACATAGTAAATGAAAATAGCTCAACTATGGGACATCGGAGCAGTGTTTCTAAACTCTTAGAGTGATTCAGGAAGTTTTACCTAAGGTATCCTTTAGGACATTTTCAGGTGTAATGAGCAAAATATCAAGAACTAGTAGCTAAAACCTTAAGAACATCGATTGTTTACTTATGGGGAAGTCTGGAGGTAAGCATTCCCAAATTTGGTTTGGCAACTGAGCAATTCATCAAACTTAAGTCTTCATTCCATAATTTTCAGCATATTGGATTTCATTTTTTGCAGTCTCCCGGTTGTAAGATGTTGGCCATAAGTGGGAACTCTACTCTTCACAACTCTTTCAGAGTCAGGAAGTGAGGAAAGGAGCTAAGGCTTTCTGATCTATTTGCCTTCTCCCTTTTATCTTTGAGGAAATGTTTCTTGGGAGCAGGGAGGAATGCTGTGCAGTCAGTGCTACAGGCGCTCACTAGCTTCCTCTGCCTTTATGTCCAGCCCTTTGAGAAAGCCTTAACCCATTTTCAGCGTTTTAAACTTCTAAGTCCTTAGCTCAAGATCCCATGGGGAACACTTAGAATCTGCCCATTCTTAAATGCAGTCACCTCTCTTCATATACAGTGAATCCTTAAACCTAATGCCATTTGTCTTATGCACATGGTGATTATTCTTATCCCATTCAATTCTTTTAACATTTGTACAAGAAAATTGAGTCTCATTGAGGTTAGGTGACTCAGTAGTTAGTGCTTGGAACCAGGATTTGAACTCAGATCTGAGTTTTAAGTCCATGCTTTCTTCATGATCCCAAAGTGCCTCTGCCCACCATAGCAGTTCTGTATGTGAGTGGGAAACCAGTTGGGACTCTCCTGAGTAGACACCTCAATGAAAGGTAATTGTATCTGGATAATCATTTGGTCATGGTTTCATAAGGAAGATGCTATCCATCTTCTCTGAATTCAATTTATGGCTTATCTCTGCACCTTGTAATTTAGTTTTAAGAATTATATATTTCTTCCTTGCTGTTACTGGAGACAAAGAAGCAGAAGGTTGTAAAGGGTATTGTGTGAAAAGGGTTTGGTTTTGTCCTATTTTGATAGGATAGTGGCTTACATTCAATTTTGGGATGTTATAATCCCTCTTTGCATGGTTACTCAAAACAAGGTCTAGAGGTTAGTCCCTCTTTGTATAGTTATTCAAAACAAGGTTTGCTGCATTCAGGGATAGGACTGTTTGGTAGGCACTTCCCCAAGAGTGGGTGGACATGAGAGTAGGGTAACCCACATGTGGCAGTGGGTTACATTACTGTAGTACTAAGTGTCCTTCCACCATTTTTCCCTTGTCTTGTGTCCTTTTAAAATTAAGGGAGGTGTTTGTAATTAGTATCCCATGCCTTTTGTCTCGCCAGCCATCCTCACCCGCTGATTACCTATGTGGAAACTCCCCGTGACTAATGTCCACTGGTGGCCAAAACTAAGAAAACAGGCAGTTGGCTTCTTATATGACTATCAGAGTTTATTTTTTGAACATTTATTATCACCAAGCAGAGTTGTTGATATTTCCTATGTTGCCAAGCAGGTATTCTGTGATACTTTCCTATCACTGTCTCATAGCATCTGAGATTCTTTCAAATAGGCTTTCTTTTTCATCTTAAAGATTTTTGTGATCTTCAAGAGTAAATACCTTCTGGAAGGATACTGTGTCATCTCAAACCCAGCAATCTGAATACAGATCTTCACATATCTTGCCTCAGGCAAGGTAAGATAATAAACCCTCACCCATTTTCTAGGCAGATACCTGTCTTGAGCTGCAAGAGTAAATGCTTATAAGTGGTCCCCATGCCCTTTCAGATGAATATTCTGCACTATAATTTGAACTGATTATCCACCTTCCTCCAGGGACCCTTTCAAAACCACCAGCTGTTAACTTCAGTCAGAATTTAATTATGCAGTTCTTACCATACTTTCAGATCTTTCAAGATGCACCCTGGATTCAGGGTCTCTTTGTTTTTTCCAGCATCCTCTGTACTAATGGAAACCTAGTTGTTCCTTAATAGCAGTGCTTCCTCTGCAGCACCTCAATTGTTAGTTTTTGTCTCCCTCAACCCATTTTCCTGTCTTTATTGCTATTTTTTCTCTATTCTCCATCAACCCAGCTCATCAAAACCCCAGCTCTTTTGAAATATACATCACAGGATTACTGTATATTACCCAGCACTGTTTTTGTTATCTGCTGGCTTCCTGTGCACTCACACTTACTCATTTATGTCTTTAGTACCCTGAATATTCTGGAGGAATATAAAGAGGTGATATTTTTAGCCATAGACCTCCTGGTTGTGTAGAATTGCTCTTGTGTAGAATAGAGATATATATGTCTCCTTTTAGTTGAGATAATGTGAAATAAAGTCTCATTTTATATAGCTTGATTAAAGAGAAATATGAAAGACAAAGAATTAAGCATAGAATGTCTTTCTAGGTTTAGAGATACTTTTTATTGATGGTATGTACTGTATTAGTTCTTACTTGGAACTGAGAAAAAAATCAAAACCAAAAAGGGCGTTAAATTCCATAAGACTAAATTTGATTTCAGTTCTGTATCCTCAGTGACAGACTTTTTAAAATTTTTCCATTAAATATAAATGATTCCATTTAATATAAATGAATAAAATAGTATGCTTGCATTGTTAGATTGTTTTCAGAAACTAGACTGTCTTTAATCACCTGATGTTATAAAGCTGTTTTTGCAGGACATAGTTATAGTATCTCCAATAAATCTGTTGTTATTTACTTGTTATAAATACCACTGAATTTTTTTTTTTCTTGTTGCTTCCTTTGTTCAGAGTGGGAAGAAACACTTCAGTTTGCTTTTCTTTAGGCAGCTGTTTTTTGGAATGAACTGATTTGGCTTATTTCTGATTTAAACACAACATGCAGCTTGTTATTTTTATACTTCTACTACATAAACAAGAGCTTTCTAGCCAATAGAAAGTGTCTTGTAATTCCTTAAAGGACTTGTACAGCCTGTTATTGTCCCAGCTCCTTTTTTTGGCCCCGTCTGTGTTTCAAATCTTTACTATTATGTAGACCTTAGATGGCTATATAAATCCAGCCATGTTCCCTGATGTCTGTTTCTGCTCCAGAAAGTGGGTTTGTAAGTGGTATAAAGAAGATGGCAGACTCCTTTATGGGCAACACAGACAAGGACCTGACTAGTTCCCACTCTTCCCACTGACCGTTTAAATGCACATGGCACAATTTGACCACAGGGATTGTGTAGACATGAAAAAGCTGTAACGTGTCTCTGAAACTAAGACCAGTGGACTCCAAATCTAGGAACCACAAGAGGTAACAGCACACATACAGATCAATTTCTGAGGCCCACCAAATCTGGACCAGGGTCTGGGAATCTATATAAAACAATGCTTTTGCAGTGGGAATTGAAAGAAAATTTTTCATTGGGATCCTTGACTCTTTACATGACTACTGTGATAATTGTCCATTTTTCCCTCAGAAGAACCTATAAATTACTAAATTATTGAGATATATACTGAAGTTTGTATAACCATGACAAATTAGCAACCAGTTTACAGAGTATGAAATAAAATGCTGTCATATTTGCAGTGTTTGTTTTATCACAAAACTGAGCAGAGATTCATGCTTTTAAAAGGTATAATAAAACAGTATGGCAAACTAGATAATTAAAGCCCTTTGGCTACAAAACAATCTAGAAATTCTGGGTAAAATTTAAACATCCTTTTAAAGGGCTTTTGAGAAGATAAAATAAATGCACAGAGCCTAAAATAAAGAGGAGCTGGATGCCAGCAAGATGTCATTGGTGATACCTTGGGTGCTGTGAGGTAGTTTGGTGATATTGGTCACCAAGGAACATAGATTTTATCTGCTGCAAGGGCAGGATTTGAATCTGTGAGCTTATAAAGGTGGAGAATTGGAAGTGAGATTTCTGTAAGAAGCCCAGATGTTATAAGCTATATCCTCAGTGAAAGCATGCTTTAGGAAAAAGTCAACCAGGAGCAGAGGAGTACATCAAGGAAGCTTGTGAGATTTGTCATGGGCTATAAGTGGAAAATAAAAGTCTTGCTAATAATTAGTAGTCATGAGTCAATCCTCATGGTAATTTAGGGTTTAAATTTGAGAAACGCTAAACCAATAAAGTAATACAAAATTAGATATGTACACTTGCAAGTATTCATGGAATAGTTATTTAAAACTTCAAATTTTTTAAATACTGAATTATCTAATTGTTTTTAGATTGAGCTTTTTAGGAAGTATGCATAGACAAAGGATAACATGCAGCAAATTTATTGGAGAGTGTTCTTGGGATAAACACCTATAGAGCAGGGAGAACACCAGATTAGTAGCAGAAGTCATCTGAGTTGCTTCAAACTCGGTCAGACCAGTCTGCCTTTCAGAATTCTGTAGACCAGGGGTGAGGTCTGGGCCCTTATAC